CAGCCTCTCAGCTGCATATCGACACTGGTAGCGGAGCGGGTTGATCCTGGACGTTTGGGTGCCCGCATACGCTTCCTTCAGTGACTGCGCAAAATGGGAGATACAGGAGTGAATCCTAAGCTTCCCTCGTGGGACGGTGACTGGAAGACCTTTGCTGACTACAAGTTGGCATGTTGGCTTGAGCATGATGGGCTCAAGCAGGATGACCAGGTGACACTGGCTCCACGGCTCGCTCGGAATCTAACTGGGAAGGCTTGGGAAGCCTGCCTGGAGATAGAGCGAGAAAAGCTTCGAAAGGAAGGCGGCCTGGAATACCTGCTAACCTACCTAAAGGGCAAGCGTGGCAAGCAGCAGGTGGACATCCTTGGCGAGGCCTTCGAGAAGTACTTCCAGTCAGGCGAGGTCATGCGCCGCGACAAGGAGACCTTGAATGACTACGAGCAACGGCTGACCAACTTCACTCGAGACATCGAGCGGGCGCTTAAGGAGCTCGGCACGGAAGCCAAGGTGCCGACGGAGATCTACGGATGGTTTCTACTCAACAAGCACATCCGCTTGGAACCATCGGACATCGCAACGCTGAAGTCGCAGACGGCGAGCTACAAGCTGGGTGATGTCTTGGCGGCGCTGCGCAAGATGTGGGGTGGAGACAGCCTAAGTCTCAAGGACCAGGAGCGGCGAAAGATCGCGAAAGCTTATCTCGCCTTGGGTGAGTACGAGGATGAGGCCGACATGGAGGGCAACGTCTGGTGGAATGAGGATGGCGGCGAGGATGAGACCATCGCCGAGGGTGAGCCCACCGAGGCCGAGATCTACTTTGAGGAAGCTCTCGCGGCCCACCTCGAGAGCCCCGAGGACGAGGTGATCCTGGCGAACTTCCAGGAGGCCAAGCGGACCTTCTACAAGGATGCCAGGAAGGCTCTCGATCAGAGTCGTGTCAGCAGAGGCTTTTACCCAAAGGGAAAAGGAAAAGGCCAAGACCGCGCCAAAGGAGGTGGTCGCACTGGTGAGTTTCCTGGTCGATGTATGCGATGCGGGAAGTACGGCCACAAAGCTCAAGCCTGCCCTCAGACCGGTGATGGCAAAGGCGGAGCCACTGGCAAGGGATCCGGCGTTGGGTTCGTCTACACGAACTGGACCGAAGTCTCTTCCGCGGACTGGGGTGCCACCACGGAGGCGGAGGGCATCTTTGTTCAGCGGGAGCCAGAGACCATGAAAGCCATCATGGACTGCGGGGCTTCGGAGTCCATCGTGGGTGCTTGGACGTTGCAGAAGATGCACGATGAGCTGGGACGCCTCGGTTTCGATACTGATGCGGAGATCCAGATCGACCAGCGAATTCGCAAGAACTTCATCTTCGGCAACAATGAAACCAGCACCGCCTTGGGCTTAGCTAAAGTGACCGCCGGCATCCATGGTCAAGAGCAGGCCATCAAGATGCACATCGTAGAGGGTGGAACCCCGATGCTGCTATCCAGCAAGTGGTTGTACGATCAGGAAGCCATCGTTGATTTCAAGAGAGGCCAGGCCATCTTTCCCAAGATCAGCTCAGAGGTGATCCAGCTGGAGCGTGCTCCAACCTTTCATCTCCTCTTGCCCATCACGGCGTTTGGAGGTAATGAGAGTGAAGTCGCTAAGACTAAAGTGCCAGAAGATTGCTTAGGCGTGCTGATGCGGGCTTGTGCCCACATCCTGCAGAGCGCTGGCACATGCAAAGTCTCACCATGTGAGTAGGGACAGCACCACCAGGTAGGTGAGCTGGAAGCCTGCCTGAGTGGACCTGTGGCCGTTGACACCGGCCAGTGTCCAGCTCAGCACAGTGAGAGTGATGAAGTCACATTTTGTGACCCCCTTCATCCGGAGTCTTCAGAGTCGTCTGAACAGCATCAAGAAGTTTTCTGCCAAATCTCTGATAACCAGAAGCCCTACTTCAAGCAAGCCTTGGAGGAGTATGAAGCCCATGTGGTCAAGACGATGAGGGATTTGACTAGTGAAAGGGTTGATCTTTTGGAGGTCTGTTGTCCCTGGGATTCTCCCTTGAGCGCTGCGGTTGTTGAGGCAGGTGGTCAGGCGTTTAGGATGGGGATCCATAACGGCTATGACCTGGCAACAAAGGCTGGACTTACCAAAGCCTTGGAGACGTTACGACAACTCCGTCCTAGGTATCTTCATGTGTCACCCCCATGTTTTCCTTGGACGACGCTTACTAACGCCCAACAACGAACCCCAGAACAACGAGCGCAACTCCTCATGAAGCAATCCTACGGACGACGGATTCTGAAGAACCTTGTGAAGCTAATTCAGGTGCAACGCCAGGAGTTGAATGGCCAATCAGGATTCCAAGCTGATGGCCATCAGGCGCATGCCGGAGGCGAACAGCCGTTGCGCGCCTTCTCGTGGAAGGAGCCCACGATGCGGCAGATGGTGCAGTTGTGTGGTAAGGGTCGTTTTCGCGTTGATGGATGTCGGTTTGGTATGCAATCGCAGGGTGTTCCTATTCAGAAACCATGGGGTTGGTTTAGTAGTTCTGATGAAATCATATCGGCCCTGAACAAAAAGTGTGAACATGGACAACAGCATCATGCCGTAATGACGGGTTCTGAAATTGCTGCATCTGCTACGTATCCTCCTCGGCTTTGTAGAGCTTTTGCCAAGGCTCTGATGAGGAATCGGGATCGGGAGATTCTTCGTCAGATACAGGTGTACGCAGCTGAAGGTGCGGGACAGGCTAAGGCCTCGAAAGAAGGCCTGGCGAGCGAAGACACTGCTGAGAATCATGAAGCCGTAGTTTCCCAACAAGGTCCTGAAGAACCTCCCGGTAAGCATGATACCTCACCCGAGCCTAACCATCCTGAAATCGAACCAGAAACCGAAGACTGGAAAGCGTCTATTGAAAACAAACTGCGAACGATACATGCTAACCTCGGTCATCCTTCCAATCAGGTGTTGGTGCGTGTTCTCAAAGAAGCCGGTGCCCCCAAAGAAACCCTCGAAAAGGCTCAGCAGTACTCTTGTCCGCAGTGCAACCGCCGAGGACATGCGAAGCCACATCGTACGTCACAGATTCCACATGCCAGTCGCAAGTGGGAAGTCGTTAGTGTTGACACGTTTTGGTGGCATAGTCCTCATAAAGATGAGAAAGGCAATCCTATCGAGCATGCTGTAGGTATCTCCTTCCTTGACGAGGCTAGTGATTTTCATGTTGCTTCTATTGTGAGAACGGGTAGTCACACTCAAAGGGTCATCAACTCTAGTGAGTTCAAGGAGACCTTCTGCCGAGACTGGCTTCGGAACCTTCCAAAGCCGGAAGCTCTTAGGTTTGATGATGAGGGTGCTTTCAGGGATTCTCAAACTATTGAGTGGATTGAAGGCCAAGCCATTCGAGTGAGTGTTATTGCAGGAGAAGCTGCTTGGCAGGTTGGAAAGCACTCTCGGCATCTTGAGGTTCTGAAAGAGAACATGTCGCTTCTGGCCCTGGAGCTTGGGCCCGAAGTCAAGGCACATGAAGTCCTTGCTCTCAGTGTGGCTGCTAAGAACGAGATGCATTCGGTATCAGGCTACTCCCCAAATCAGTGGTGCTTTGGCCAGAGTAAAGAACGCATACAATCGTACCTTCAACATGGAAACCATTTGCCAACACAGAGTTTGAGGGCTCAAGAAACTTTTGAGGAATCCTTGCAACGAGCCGAAGCTGCGAGGCGAACCTTTTTGAAGGCCGACAGTAGGCGACGTGTGTTGCGAGCGGCGCGCGGCAAAGCGCGCAAGAGCGAAGTGTTTGAACCAGGACAACTGGTGTACTACTACAGAAAGGGTCGCAACACTAGTCGCATGGAGGCTGGATGGCACGGCCCCGCACGCGTTGTTGCTGTTGAAAAGCAAGGCAGTCCGGAAGAAAACCAAACGCAAGGGTCTGTTGTGTGGGTTGTTCATGCAACGGTGTTGTACAGATGCGCGCCTGAACAGCTGAGATCTGTCAGTTCACATGTGAGCAGTACACATGAAATCCTGCATGATACGAAAACCCCGCTTGAAGAGATCAGACAAGCTGGAAACAAAGCCAATTACAGGGACATTTCAGGAGATCTGGCTCAGGAGCCAGAAGACTCTGAGATACATGATGACGAGCCGGGCTCAAGGAACCAGTTCCCAGATCCCACTCGACGTGTTTTCGGCAAACAGCCTCCGCCAAATGTCGAAGCAGTCGGTTCTCAGCGCTCTCAAGGGCAAGTTGGCGGAAGACCAGAAGAGCACCGCGACGAGCCAGTACGAGGAGGAGAACCAACGCTGCACGGAGATGAGCATGCAAGATCTAGGCAACGAGCTCGTGCAGCACGGGAAGCACCAGGGCAAGCCAGTGAAGGAAGCGGCCAAGGACAACAAGTACGTGATCTGGTTGATGGAGCATCACGAGTGCAACGTGAAGTTCACCAACCTCCTGACGTATGTCATCCGAGCGAACGGGGGCCAATCTCAGAAGAAGACCGCCGGGAGTTCCAACGACACGCCGAAGCCCATCGGGACCGAGGAAGAGTGGCTTCAGGTGTGGGAGCAGGAGCCGGACAAGGAGCTTCCGGGATCCGTGACGGCGATGGTGCATGTGCTTCAGAAGACCGTGAAGGACTTGGCTCTTCAGGTGGGACAGCTGGAACAGGCCAATCTCCAGCAACAACAGGCCCTCTACCAGGCCATGTCGGCGAGCATGCAGCTCCAGGAGGAGATGGAGCGCATTCGCGAGCGTCTGGTAGCCTACGAGGCCGGCATGATTCCGAAGCTCAGCTGAGCAGATCTAGAAGCCGGACTCCTGCAAAGCAGCGAGCTGAAGATGAACTAGGGGTTTTTACTGTAGATGAGACGTTACCGAGCTTACCAGAAGAGGATGTTGGAAATGCTCTTGATCTGACTCAGGGTGATTTAGGACCCCAAAAGAGTACTGAGTACAGTCCCCGAAGCATTAGGGTTGGTTGTTTCAGCTGGCAGCAGGAGGACAGCTGGGAGACTCTCCCAGGAACCAGGCAGACTCCTGAGCCAGAACCTGTCCGTAATCTGCAATCCTATTTCAGTGCTGCCCTTGATTCGCAGGCTCAGGTTTTTGAGATAGCCCTGGAAGTTCAACCTCGGGACGTGCACAAGGTGCAGACGCAAGGTAAATCTCACTGGGTTTTAAATGAGAAACCTAAGAAGAGGGCCGAGGTCCAGTTTCGATCGTTGTCTGATGATGACAAGCTTGACTTCATGAAGGCCATGCAGAGTGAACTCAGCTCTTATCTTCAACATGAAGCTGTGCAGATTGCCCGGCGTCACAACGTGCCACCCGAGAGGATATTAGGGATGCGATGGGTCCTTTCCTGGAAATCTGTTTGCGATGAGGGTGGAAGTGTTGTTGGTAGGAAGCCTAAAGCCCGTCTTATCATAAAAGGGTACCAGGATCCCGATTTGACTAGCTTAAAACGTGATTCCCCAACTCTGTCTACCCAAAACAGAAACATGATCCTTGCCCTTGCCTCCCAAAGGAAATGGCACAGCTATGTGGGGGACATCAAAACAGCTTTCCTGAACGGAGATCCCACGGAACTTGATCGCGAAATCTTCGCGGAACCACCCGAAGAAGTCAGAAGAATGCTCAACATGAAACCCTATGAACTTTTCAGGATTCTGAAAGCTGTGTATGGCCTCTTGCACGCGCCACGAGCTTGGGCGGAGAAGCTAGGTAAGGAACTGACCAAACAGGGCTGGGTTCAATCAAAACTTGAACCATGTGTGTGGCGGCTGTATCATCAGGGTGATTTGGTTGGCCTTATAGGTGTTCATGTGGATGATCTGTTGTGCTGTGGAGCAGGGCAACATTTTGAGGACCACATCGCGACACTTCGTGCATGCTTTCCTTTCGGGTCATGGAAGGATGTACAACAGGAGAGCACCGTGTTCTGTGGATGCGAAATCAAACAGAACCAGGATTTCTCCATTGACCTGAATCAGGAGCGCTATGCCGAAGGCCTAGTCGAGATTCCCCTCAGCCGGGAGCGCCGAGATCAGAGCCAGGAACCTGTGAACGAACAGGAGAGAAAGCAACTTAGAGCCGCCCTAGGGGCACTCTCGTGGAGAGCGACTCAATCGGCACCTTGGCTTTGTGCAAGTGTTTCTTACTTGCAGGGGTGTTTCAAAGAAGCCACCATTGATGACATCAACCAAGTGAACAAGCTCATTCGACTTCAGAGGGTGCACAGTCAAACCACCATTCACTTCAGTTCTCAGATTCAGAGACCTGTGCTACTGACTTATCATGATGCGTCGTATGCCTGTAGGAGGGATGGTTCTTCCCAAGGCGGCTTGTTGACTGTTCTTACCGATGCTAGGGTTTTGGAAGGAAAAGGGTCACCCTTCTCCCCCATTTCTTGGCAGAGTAGGAAACTCCCCAGAGTGTGTAGGAGTTCCACTGCTGCTGAAATCCAGACCGGTAGTCATGCCATTGATGCTCATGAGTTCACTAAGCAGATGCTTGTAGAGTGGTACAATGAGGCTCCGATTCCTGTAGCGCACATGGATGAAGCACTTCGGCAGTTTACTTCAATCGTGGTCACTGACAGTAAAAACCTGTACGACTCGGTGGTTAGAGTTGAAACGAGCGGCTTGCAGCTTGAAGAAAGGAGACTGGCTCTTGAGGTTCTTTCGATTCGGGAACGAGATCGGGCCATCGGGGTTGACTTCAGATGGGTTGACGCGGATCAGCAACAAGCAGACGGTTTGTCTAAACCCTTTACCTGTAATGGTCTTCTCTTGTCTTTTCAAAGAAAACAGGTGTGTATTCAGTTTGATTCCTCTTTTATGTCTGCTAAGAAGAAGAGAGCGTGGCAGAAACAGAAGGTCCGTGTCAATTTCCTTGAAGACTCCGGGTCGAAGACCTGACACATCAAAAGAAAATTTCGACCGATGTTGAAATCAGCATCTGTGCTTGAT